GAGAGAAATTGGCGAAGGTCCATGGACTCCTTCTCCTTAGGAATGAGGACACCCCCTAACCTACGCCATGCTCTTGGGATAATTTGTTTCTCCCAAACTATTCTTAGCTGTCTCCACAAAAATGTAAGGATATCAGGTGCACTTTTATAAACCCGGTAGGGGACTCCATTAGGCCCTGGGACCGAAGAAGCCTTTGTACGCCTGACCAACTCCTGAACTTCCTTCCACCTAGGTGACCTTACATCCAGCTCATATCCAGGGATATCCGGTAGAAGACCTACTATCCACTCTTCTCTAAATCTGAATATGTATTTCCCAAATATTCTTCAACCTCTAGCCTTGCTGCTTTTAGCTGCCCTCCCTTTTCTTGGCTAAACAAACTTAAAAGGGTCCCTGAAAAAAGCTGTCCTTATATATTCCTTCTTCCTCTTCTTTTTCCTGAGATGCTCTGTCCTTCAAAGAGCTTCTAGCCTGCTTCTCAACTCTTCTTGCAAAACATTAATTCCCTCCCTTTCTTTTTCTGTAGCCTTTTTCCACTGCTTTCTTAACTGTCTTTACTTGTCTCTAACTTCTCTATTTCTCTTTCCCGTCTAGACTTACCTGACTGTACCCTCTCACCCCTCTTTCTCTCATGCACCCCAAACCTCTCTGCACCATATGAGTAAATTATATCTCCCATCTTTTCTAACTTTTCCATCGTATTTCCTCTAAGATTACTGACAAATCTCTATTAACTATCTCCCATTCTTTACTATCATTTGCCCTAGGCCATCTAACTCTAACCTTTTGCTCCATGGTTCTCTCTCTGATGCTACTAAATATGACAGCTGGTTATACGTTCACTCTCTGCTGAAGTACTTCCACTTCAAAACAGGCATTTTGTTAATGTTTGTAGTCTGGTCCCTCACCCTCTTTAGACTTCTGTTTGGGTATTCTTGAGTATGCCCTGCAGTCTGATGCTCTATTAAGGGGATGTACGGGCGTTAACCTATGCTAATCAGGATCAACAAGCACATGCTGTAAACTTATGAGCAGTGGGATTCATCATGATAAGAACGCATTTAACAACATGTTATGAATCTGGCATAGACTTTTCCGAGAACAAAGAACAAAAAATTGTAAGAGCAAATTTAAAAAAAAAAAAACTTAAAGAATGAAAAAAAAGATAATGGTGAGTGAGGTACAATGATTTTAAGTCTTCACAGCTGAAATTTGTTGGTCTCACACATAACCTGGTTCTCTAATATGGAGCAGTTGAGAGAGAAAGAATTATTGAGGGGTCATGAAACTCTCCGATATGAGGAGAGTTTCTGGCTCCAAAAAGGAGCAGGCCAGAGAGAGTTTTTGAAGCCACAAATCTCCTAACTTGATTAGGTGATAACATTATGGTAATTTAGTGTAATTAAGTGAAAAAAACTGTGCTAATTTTACTTTTAAAGGGTAACATCTGTATTTTTTTTAACCTGGACCCTAATTTTTCCTGTTTTTGTGTCTTAGTGACCTTTGAGAACAATTTTTGAAATTGGTCCAGTATTGCACCATCAATTTACATCTGCTAAAAGTAGTTGTTTTTGCCACTGACGTCCTCAGATTATTAAGTGTCTGACAGTTTATGGAAAGGAACCCTTCACAGATTAAACCTTTTTGTCAAAGAGTACGATCTTTTTTATTTAACTAGAAACAGCCCTGAAGTAGCTATCACCAAGCCCAGCAGACTTCAAGTCACCCTTTCATTTATTTTTTTATTTAACCTTTATTTAACCAGGCAAGTCGTTAAGAACAATTTCTTATTTACAGTGGCAGCTTGGCAAAAGGCAGAGCCTCTTGAGGGAAGGGGGATGGAGGGCTAAAAAGGAATATCAGAAGTTAAGAAAAACAAAAACAAAAAAACAACAACAAACAAACAACAGTTAAAACAACAACAACACAAACATTTAGAGCACACTCACCACTGATATACAATCACAACATATTAAAGATTCAGAAGCTGTCTTTTCTTAGAGATCACTTTCTAATGCTTCCACAGCTCTCAGTTGCTTCTTGTCGAGATATTTTCCACGACACTGATGTAGTCTATAGGTTATTGATTTACTTGAGGCATGAAGGAGGGGAAAATGTGAAGGACAACACTCCACAGTCTTTTGCCCATACACAGATGAGGACCCATCTGAAAGGTCATTTGATTTAGGTCTGTGATTACTGTTTTACTGAGCGCTCTCTTCATCAATCAATCAATCAATCAATCAATTTTATTTATAAAGCCCAATATCACAAATAGCGATTTCCCTCAAAGGACTTTACAGCATACGACATCCCTCTGTCCTTTGGACCCTCACAGCGAACAAGGAAAAACTCCCCCCTCAAAAAAGAGACATAAAGCATCTCTTATCTATGGTTTTTCATTATTTCATCCTTATTTATTAAGTTGGATGTGATAACATCTTGCTGAGCATGACAGTCTGCCTGAGTGTTGGCATCACAGAGTTCAAGATTACCCTCAAGGTTGGGCGTTGGTGGCTTAGTGGATAGAGCAGGTGCCCCATGTACAAGGCTGTTGCCGCAGCGGCCCGGGTTCTTGATATACACTGAACAAAAATATAAACGCAACACTTTTGTTTTTGCTCCCATTTTTCATGAGCTTAACTCAAAGATCTAAAACATTTTCTATACACACAAAAGACCATTTCTCACAAATATTGTTCACAAATCTGTCTAAATCTGTGTTAGTGAGCACTTCTCCTTTGCCGAGATAATCCATCCCACCTCACAGGTGTGGCATATCAAGATGCTGATTAGACAGCATGAATATTGCACAGGCGTGCCTTAGGCTGGCCACAATAAAAGGCCACTCTGAAATGTGCAGTTTTGCTTTACTGGGGGGGTCTGGGGGGGTCAGAAAACCAGTCAGTATCTGGTGTGACCACCGTTTGCCTCATGCAGTGCAATACATCTACTTCGCATAGAGTTGATCAGGTTGTTGATTGTGGCCTGTGGAATGTTGGTCCACTCCTCTTCAATAGCTGTGCGAAGTTGCTGGATATTGGCAGGAACTGGAACACGCTGTCGTATATGCTGATCCAGAGCATCCCAAACATGCTCAATGGGTGACATGTCCGGTGAGTATGCTGGCCATGCAAGAACTGGGATGTTTTCAGCTTCCAGGAATTGTGTACAGATCCTTGCAACATGGGGCTGTGCATTATCATGCTGCAACATGAGGTGATGGTCGTGGATGAATGGCACAACAATGGGCCTCAGAATCTCATCACGGTATCTCTGTGCATTCAAAATGCCATCAATAAAATGCACCTGTGTTCGTTGTCCATAACATACGCCTGCCCATACCATAACCCCACCGCCACCATGGGCCACTCGATCCACAACGCTGACATCAGCAAACCACTCACCCACACACGCTGTCTGCCATCTGCCCTGAACAGTGAAAACCGGGATTCATCCGTGAAGAGAACACCTCTCCAACGTGCCAGACGCCATCGAATGTGAGCATTTGCCCACTCAAGTCGGTTACGTCGAACTGCAGTCAGGTCGAGACCCCGATGGGGACGACGAGCATGCAGATGAGCTTCCTTGAGACGGTTTCTGACAGTTTGTGCAGAAATTCTTTGGTTATGCAAACCGATTGTTGCAGCAGCTGTCCGGGTGGCTGGTCTCAGACGATCTTGGAGGTGAACATGCTGGATGTGGAGGTCCTGGGCTGGTGTGGTTACACGTGGTCTGCGGTTGTGAGGCCGGTTGGATGTACTGCCAAACTGTCTGAAACGCCTTTGGAGACGGCTTATGGTAGAGAAATGAACATTCAATTCATGGGCAACAGCTCTGGTGGACATTCCTGCAGTCAGCATGCCAATTGCACGCTCCCTCAAAACTTGCGACATCAGTGGCATTGTGCTGTGTGATAAAACTGAACATTTTAGAGTGGCCTTTTATTGTGGCCAGCCTAAGGCACACCTGTGCAATAATCATGCTGTCTAATCAGCATCTTGATATGCCACACCTGTGAGGTGGGATGGATTATCTCGGCAAAGGAGAATTGCTCACTAACACAGATTTAGACAGATGTGTGAACAATATTTGAGGGAAATCTTTTGTGTGTATGTCTCTGTGGCACCTCGGCAGTGCCCAGAAGGTGAACTGACACCAGCTACCAGTCCACGCTCCGGATGGGGACTGGAACAGGCAACCCTCCAGTTCCTAACCCAAGTCCCTATGGACTGAGCTGACTGGGCAGTTCGAGTCCAGCGTGTGGCCTTTTGCTGCATGTCATTCCCTCTGTCTCTCTCCCCCTTTCACACTTGGCTGTCCTGTCCATTAAGGGCAAAATGCCCAAAAAATATCTTAAAAAAAAAAAAAAGTTTACCCTCAAGGTAACATTGACATATCATGTTCACAAGAATGAGAGAGAAGGTCTCAATGACTTTGACCTTTGAACTATGACCACCAAAATCTAATTGGTTTATTGTTGAGAAATTCCTTCATGGCATTCTTGAGATATTGCGTTCACAAGAATGGGATGGATGAATGTACAACCATGGACATGAACTGTGGTCATGGCTATTGCCGATGCAGAGGCATAAAAAGAGCCCTAACCATCTCAATTCAAAGCCAGGATAATAATGAATACACTGAGCTCTTAACGTAGATCAAGTGTGTATACGCATGGTAACCTATCTTAGCTTTAGCCCAGCTTTTGGTTTTGCTTGTTTTATCAGTATCATACAAGATTCATGAGATCATTTGAGATTTATTCAGATTTTTTCAGTTTACACTGTTTATCTTCATTTCTTCTTTTGTTCTTATTGGCTTTCTTCACTGTTGTTTTTATTCACGCTACAGTGTTGAATCTCTACTGTTTTACTTTTTCGTAATACTACATTTAATATATATTTTGAAATGCTATAATGATCTCATCCTGGTAAAGGGTGTGTTACAGCGTTAAAGATTGCTGCTGATATGTTGACATAATGTAACAGTAATCTTACTTAAGTATCTTGAGTGGAATAGAGGTATCTTTGATGGCAACAATGACCCCACCGTGGTCCAGGTACAGGATGTGATGTTCTTCTTCGAAAACCTTAAAAGAAGCAACATATAAAGGTTTGTTGTGAAATGAATGTGGTCATAATTTAACTAATGTAATAATGTGTTTACGTCTGTCCAAATCATGAAATGCAAAACATTTCAGAAGTGTTCTTGAAAAAGTAACATCCAAAATGGTACAAGTCATGCAGTGGTCTACAGTTTGGAGAAAAAAATGGACAGATATATAACTGGATTTTTTTCTTAATCTCCTAAGATTTTGCAATGTCTGTGAGAGCAGAGGGAAAGTGTAGAAAGGATTAGGAGAGGAACAGCAAAGAGGGAGTGAAGAGAGGGAAAAAGAAGCAGGGAATGAGAGGATGTACCTGTCTCCACGTCTTCCCACAGTCTGAGGTGATGTACATCTCTTCCTTATACTCTACTAGTTTGGAGCCAAGGTTACCTGAAGGAGCAATGAGGCATTGAAAATTTCATCAGGCAGGGAGCCTCTTGTGAGGCAAGCAACAACAACAGAACCAAAGAGAGGAGAGAACATAGAGAGAACAAATATGAGGAGACTACTGAATAACCAAACAGAGAAGAAATCAAATACAGTCGGTCAAGGATTTTCCCCTCAGAACTTTTTCTTCTGCTTTACATTTCTTTACCAAATGGACAGAACAAGGCTTGCGTAATTCTATGAACCTCAGAATGAGCAAAATTAGCTGAAATACAAGTTAAGCTAAGGAGGTGCTGCAGACGCCAGCCTCAGTTTTGTGTTCTCTCTTATCTTTATGTAATAGTCAATGTTTGTAGATTGAGAGGAACAAAAACTGGAGTCCAATGCCTTGTATCCTTCCTCCAAGAAGCTTCCTCAGCTCTAAATGACTGGTACAGAGTTGCAGTCATTCAGAACTGAAGAAGCTTCTTGGATGAGAGGCGAAACATTTTCAAGAAATGCAAGCAAGTCCAGTTGCCTACAATAAAGCACTTATGATTACCATGACCAGGATGACTGAGAATTTTCACCGACATGTTGCCAATCAATTTGGGAAAGAGTGTGTGGCGTCAGTCCGGCCACCCTATACTTCGACTATCCATTAGACTGATCATGGATTCCTATTTTTTGAGATCTATTAGTCCGACCTCCCAATAATCAAACCATACTTTTGCCATTTCTCTGACCGTCGGTATTCAGACCCAGCAACGGTTGTTAAAGTGGATACCCCGATCAGAGGTTTAACCAGATAGCCTGATGTTACTGTTTTATAGTATACAGGAACAGCTCGACACAGCGTGACAGAAACAAGTGTTTTCGCGTGCAAGCAACCCTGAAGTTAACTCTCTAATTCTTGCTACTGAGGGAAGTCACTAAATGATATGACACTCTTGGTTACGGTTGCACACAAAACTAGCCCAGCCCCAACCACAACAATAAGATAGGCTAAACTACAACAAAAATACAATAAAAGGGCTATAAAAGAACATAAAACATGCTATTTTAAGTAGCCTTCAACATGGCCTGAAACGCCCTCTGGGCAATATGCAAAACCACTGGCTGATGTCACTCACCAGCCAGCACACTAGCGAACACGTTGGGTTGTGAGTACCAGATAGTCACGTGACACCGTGGTGCATTCGGTAACACATCAGCAATTAAATCAATAGAGTTTAGATAGTGTATTTCTTTTCTTTTTTTTTTATGTCACCCAACACAATTTTATATACACAATCATTTACACCGTGCAACTACCAGACTCTCACACTGTTTACACATTCATATATCATATATCATAAGTTGACACTGTCCCTACTGATTTCTTACAGGTGAGATATCAGTCCATTATTTTAGGTCTGCAGTAGTATAAACTTATAAACTTATCCATTTTGACCACAAGGTATCAGTAAGCACTAATTATTAGGCAGCTAAGCTGCCAGGACACTATTGTAATCTTAGGTATTCTTCTTCTTTCTTCTTCCGAGGAAATCATACTTCCCATGGGTGAAAACTCACAGTCTCATGCCAGATATCCTCAGCTGTAAACTCAAGCCAATAGTCCTGATGGTGGCGCTACAGCAAGCGTCTGAAGTTCAAAACTTTGAAAATTCATAACAAATCAACCATACGTGCTAACAACATTCATCAAACTGTAGCCCCAATACTGAAGAAACTTTTGTACATTTAAACCTGTTAAAAATTATGAAGTTCATCACTCTGTTTTTTTCAAAAACTGTAAAACATCTTAAACCTATCTCCTCCCACAATTTTTGCTCAATTGACACCAAACTTGCTACAGAGCATCTTCAGACTGTCCTACACAAACAATCCACACGGATTTTTGATTTATCGAAAATTGAACCCACAGTGCTTCAAAATGTTTGACTGTGAACGGTACTGTAAACATATACATGCAAATTCTTGCTAAATAAATCTTCAGTTTCATGAAAAAATGACAAAATTCTAGAGTCATGGTAGATGATGTGTGCAAATTTCAGAATTTTATCTAAAAAACTGAATTTTTGACAGCATTTTGAATTTTGCTCTAATGTGAACAACTGGAGTCAATGTAAAAATGGCAATTTTAAACATCAGTTATTCACTTATGGAGCAAATCAATCATTGTTACAAACAAATCACCAACATCTCCATGCTGTCTAGATGCAATATGTGTATTTTCAGATTTTTGTCTTAATAACTGAATTTTTTACTGTGGTTTCAAATCTGTCTTTCCATGCACGGATGGCTGCTTTCCTACACAACAGTTTAGTTTAGTTTAGTTTATTAAGATCCCCATTAGCTGCAGCAAAACTGCAGCTATTCTTCCTATTATGAAACATTATACACATAACATTATATACTATATATATAGTATATAATGTTATGTGTATAATATAATGTTTCATAATAATGTTTTGTATGTATGGGTATATTAAGATATGATGAAGTGTTAAGCTCACATTGTTTTGTTTGTTTTTGTTTTTTAATGCTTTTACAATGTTTTTCTTATGTTTTTCTTTGTATTTGTATTGTATATACAGTACAGGCCAAAAGTTTGGACACACCTTCTCATTCAATGCGTTTTCTTTATTTTCATGACTATTTACATTGTAGATTCTCACTGAAGGCATCAAAACTATGAATGAACACATGTGGAGTTATGTACTTAACAAAAAAAGGTGAAATAACTGAAAACATGTTTTATATTCTAGTTTCTTCAAAATAGCCACCCTTTGCTCTGATTACTGCTTTGCACACTCTTGGCATTCTCTCCATGAGCTTCAAGAGGTAGTCACCTGAAATGGTTTTCCAACAGTCTTGAAGGAGTTCCCAGAGGTGTTTAGCACTTGTTGGCCCCTTTGCCTTCACTCTGCGGTCCAGCTCACCCCAAACCATCTCGATTGGGTTCAGGTCCGGTGACTGTGGAGGCCAGGTCATCTGCCGCAGCACTCCATCACTCTCCTTCTTGGTCAAATAGCCCTTACACAGCCTGGAGGTGTGTTTGGGGTCATTGTCCTGTTGAAAAATAAATGATCGTCCAACTAAACGCAAACCGGATGGGATGGCATGTCGCTGCAGGATGCTGTGGTAGCCATGCTGGTTCAGTGTGCCTTCAATTTTGAATAAATCCCCAACAGTGTCACCAGCAAAACACCCCCACACCATCACACCTCCTCCTCCATGCTTCACAGTGGGAACCAGGCATGTGGAATCCATCCGTTCACCTTTTCTGCGTCTCACAAAGACACGGCGGTTGGAACCAAAGATCTCAAATTTGGACTCATCAGACCAAAGCACAGATTTCCACTGGTCTAATGTCCATTCCTTGTGTTTCTTGGCCCAAACAAATCTCTTCTGCTTGTTGCCTCTCCTTAGCAGTGGTTTCCTAGCAGCTATTTGACCATGAAGGCCTGATTGGCGCAGTCTCCTCTTAACAGTTGTTCTAGAGATGGGTCTGCTGCTAGAACTCTGTGTGGCATTCATCTGGTCTCTGATCTGAGCTGCTGTTAACTTGCGATTTCTGAGGCTGGTGACTCGGATGAACTTATCCTCAGAAGCAGAGGTGACTCTTGGTCTTCCTTTCCTGGGTCGGTCCTCATGTGTGCCAGTTTCGTTGTAGCGCTTGATGGTTTTTGCGACTCCACTTGGGGACACATTTAAAGTTTTTGCAATTTTCCGGACTGACTGACCTTCATTTCTTAAAGTAATGATGGCCACTCGTTTTTCTTTAGTTAGCTGATTGGTTCTTGCCATAATATGAATTTTAACAGTTGTCCAATAGGGCTGTCGGCTGTGTATTAACCTGACTTCTGCACAACACAACTGATGGTCCCAACCCCATTGATAAAGCAAGAAATTCCACTAATTAACCCTGATAAGGCACACCTGTGAAGTGGAAACCATTTCAGGTGACTACCTCTTGAAGCTCATGGAGAGAATGCCAAGAGTGTGCAAAGCAGTAATCAGAGCAAAGGGTGGCTATTTTGAAGAAACTAGAATATAAAACATGTTTTCAGTTATTTCACCTTTTTTTGTTAAGTACATAACTCCACATGTGTTCATTCATTGTTTTGATGCCTTCAGTGAGAATCTACAATGTAAATAGTCATGAAAATAAAGAAAACGCATTGAATGAGAAGGTGTGTCCAAATTTTTGGCCTGTACTGTATATACCCCAGGAAGAATAGCTGCAGTTTTGCTGCATATATATATATATATATATATATATACACATACATACATATATACACACTACATTACTATACCATATATATCATATATATCATACATATCAAATTATTCCCTACTTTGATAGATGCTGTTTTATTAATATTTTAAATTGATTTATGTTAGTGGTGAGTTTGATAGTTTAGGCAATGAATTCAATTCTTTCATACCTCTGTAAAGAACAGTGCTTTTGATGGTGTTTGATCTTGCCTTAGGCATTGTAAAGTTACCCACAGTTGCATGCCTGGTGATGTATTTATGGTTTTCTGCACTGAAGGAAAGGTTCTTGAACAAAATAAAAGGTGATTTTAAAACAGATATATTTCTGTCTTTGACCAATAGCCAGTTTAGATTCTTATGCATTGAAATGATATTTGTTCTATAGTCACACTTGAGTACTGTACGGGTAGCTCTATTTTGCATACGTTGTAGTTTGTTTAACATGTCTCCAGTGGCATTTGGCCAAACTGCTGGGCAATAGTCGAGATGCGTTAATATTAGTGCTTGAATTGCTCTATTCATGATATTTGGAGTCAGAAAGGTAGTGTGTCTTCTCATAATAGATATGCCTCTTCCCATCTTTGCAATCATATTATTGATGTGTTTCTTCCATGATAATTTATTGTCTACTGTCATGCCCAGAAGTTTGGTCTCATGCACATGATTTATGGTGATGTCATTAATTTTAATATTTAACACAGGATTCCTATCAATAATGTAATTAGACCCAAGAATCA